GGGGTTAAGTAGTTAAATTTCTTTTTCTCTTTTTTTTTTTTTTTTTGTACTCTTCCTATCATGATCCCTTTGAGAAGACTCTGTTCTTGTTGGTTTTATGTATTTTTGTATTAATTAAAGGGACCAATTATTTTTCAAATTAACTTGTGAAATTTGTTAGAAATAAATTGCTTTTGCTTAAAGGCCTTCTCCAGTTTGCATCTTGCTACATTAGTAATTTAATAGGTGGTTGTGAATACAACTGCAGTTCTCTTTTTCGAGTACTGGCAAGGATGGCAACAAATTTAAATTGTGATTTTTATGACTCATTTAAAGCAGTGAATGGAGTTTCTTCAGTGGTAAGTAGTAATAAAATATACCCTTTCTGGTACTTGATGATTCCAGTAGCTTAGTGTGGATTTGTGTGTGGTTTTTTTTAACAAGAAGCTCTCTTTGAATGCAGAAATAGTAGTTATTTCTGTGTCCTGACTGGTAAGTTTTTTGAAGTGGAATGAATATATTTAACATAGAGGGGTTTGAAATATAAATGTTGTCTTAAACATTTTGTTTTGTTTTGTTTGAACTTTCTGATGTGTCACAAGGAGTGCTTGGCTTTTGGTATACAGATCCACACCACTTGCAAAGTAGAAGTTTCAGTAAAAGTGATGCTTACTGGTCAAGTAAAGGGACCTATGAACATGATCACATCACTAGTGACTTGTGCTGGTCTACTCAGTTTATTGTTGTTGTTGAAAAAGGGGTGTAAGAAAATCCCAAGCGTTTCCATTGCATTTCAAGCTCCCAGATGTGTTCTCTTTCCTACTCAAATGTTAACTAGATGTATACTTTTTTTTAGTAACTGTATGTCTTTGTAAGATAGTGAGGTAATTTTTTCTGTCATGTATAGTATTGATTTTTAGACTCTTCCGCTAAATTTATTGTGACTTTGCCCTCAGTTACACAATCGCTGTCATATGGTCTCAGATAACACTTTAACATGCTCAGTTGGGTGTTCAAGTGCTTCACAGACGGCATTCTGGAGATTTTCATACTTTCGCTGTTTGGATTTTGGTCCAATACTCTGAAGGTAAACCCAAAGTCACTCTAGTGTTGCAACCTGGCAGACTTCTCTTAAATATGAAAGAAGGGAGGATTTAGGCAAGAAGGGCTCAGAGAATTCAAGAAATTTTCTGTCATGAAGCTCTAATCTCCACAGTGTTTCCTACTGCTCGTGAGTGATCCTGGTATTTTTCTTCCTTGTGTAGTCCCAGAATGGATGATGAACTAACCATCCTGATAGTTATGACTGCCAGTTTCTCTCTGTGGTGTAGCTAGCAGTAGGAGAATGAAGAGTCTTTTCTGAATGATTGGAAAGTGCAGAATGGTCTGAACAAGTCAACATAGCAATGTAAATCCTTTCTTGAACAAGATAATGTATAAATCTAGAAAAAAGCAATGCGAGACATTTTTCTGCTTAGATTTCTTTTTAGCTCATTAGCAAATTTTTGGCCTTCTGTTTCTGGAGTCTGCTTCAAAGAGTTTTAAGCATGTCCAAAAACTAAAGAAAATTCTTTTAATTTCACCTTTGATTTGGTTTTATTTTGGTTTGTTTAAAAACAAACTAAAACATTCCCCAGACCCCATTATCTTCTACTGAAATCCAAGGGTAGACTTCCATGTAACTGCAGGAATTGTCTTAAAGGTAGAAACTCTGGGAATTCTTCTCTGAAATGAAAACTACTTATTTGTTTTGAACCAAACATGCCATTTAATAATTTAAATGCAAACTCTCAGAACTTGTTTTAACTGATACCAGTTAAAATTTTACTGGAGTCTAAGGAAGTTATGTTCTACCATCTTTTGGATTCGAGACTTGCATATTACCATATGATACACTGAAATCCCTGTGACTTTTATCTATGTGTATTGCTCTTTTCTGTTAAATTTTGCTGTGGTAAAATAAAGCACGCCTCACTCCTTACTGAATTCTGGTTCTACAGTGTTTTCACATAATTTTGTAAAAGAACGTTTCACGATTACACGTTGGCATGAATAAAAGGGTATTTTCCACTGTGCTGTACTACCTGTGGAGTAAAAGTAGTAAGAAAAAGGTGTTTTTTAGGTGCCACTTTGGTTGAAGGAACTCTTGTGTTTTGCTTATTTTTAAGGAATATGTGATACTGCATGTTGTCATATTTGAAAATGAGTAGCCTCTTTACTTCTTTGCTATTTCTTTCAATAGCTTGCAGCATTCACCTTTAGTTTTCATAGATGTTTAAAGGTTCATAAGTATCATTAGTTTCTTTAACAAATATACTTGTTGGCTCCTGTCACAAAGAAAATAAGTTGTGTATTCTGGCAGTAGATCCAGCATTTTTATTTGTGCTTATTCTGTGCTGGATGTGCTGGACCTCTCCTAGCTTCATCCAGTTTTATTACTGATTCACTATTTGAACGCACGTGTAATAAGAGATTTACTGCACCTAGAGGTAAATTAACAGACGTGATTAGCGCTTAAGTAAAAAATTTGTTAAAGAACAAATATCAGTTTTCAACTGTGCATATTTTTAATTTATGATGTGACTTATTGAAACATACAGTATAGCATATAGCACCAAAATTAGCTAGCCTCAGTGAAGGTGTTGAGAGTATATATGTTCTGTGTGTTGCGTTGGAACAATTCAAAGAAGTTCTGATTTGTAGCGTATTCAATGCTACATGTGTGTACATGTGAGTCTTCAGTACGACAGTGAGACTCAATGTATTTTCACAGCTTGCATGAAGCAGCTACCTGTCTTGTTCCCAGAGTAGCTACATGAGGACTGCGGGTATTTCTTGTGATATACTGATCCAGGCATAAAATATATCAGTACAATGTCTCAAAGTCTTTGATTTTGAAATATGGGGTGGGAGAAAGGATGGGGGCAATTTCCGCTTGCACATTTTTTCCAGATTATCTTAATTTAACTTTTAAAAAATAATCTAACACTCATAATTGAATGAGAAAGGTGAAGAAAAAAGTCTGTGGAATCCTGTTTCTCAATTCAAAAAAAAAAAAAGAAAAAAAATAAGGTAATAAATAAGATGTAAGAGAGCAGGAAATACTATGACCCACCTTTTCCAACTTCAGTTATTAGAAAGGTAACTGGGAAATAGTCTGTCTAACATAAATATCTTCTATTTGCAGAGCCAATGGAACAAAGCCACAAATGACTGCGTATGGCATTTTTTCCATTTGAGTGCACTAATAGAAAAAAACCAACACTAATTAATTCAAAGGAAATTGATATTGTCCTCTTATTTACTAATTCCCCATAATAATATCTATTAGCGTGCATCTGTAAACTTTAAATCAGTTCATAATACCTTATATCCACTACTTTGCTTATGTCTAATCAACAAGTTAATAATCTAATTTACCTAATAATATCTATTTAAAGATGAATATGTAATTCGTGTAAACTTCTTCACATACCATCCATTTTTCAATGACCTGTGTGATTTATTATTCTTTACAGAATCACAACTGTATATCTGTGTATTACAACGGAGATTATTTGAAATAAGTATCTGGGTTTTTTGTGCACTTGAATTAGCTTCAATTTGGTTGGCAAGTGACTGTCACAGTTATAAAGGCTGTTTTTATATTATTATGTTTGGTTTATGCTTATTTATCAATTTTCTTATAGGGAGCAAATGGCCACAGAAATGTCAGAAATATTGTCTAGGTAGGTGGGAAGACAACACCAAATGAATCAATCATTTTATAAAAAGAAATCACACATGAAATGGGTTGCATTATTATGGAATGAAAAATAATGGAATCAGTTTCTTTTTTTTTAAAGTGCTAAGCAGATATGTAAATTATTTCCTTCAGATAAATTTCCTTTATCAACACCTTTTTTCCAGAAATTATTTTCCTGCTATTTCAATTTATTGTATAAAAAAATAAATTAAGAGTAGTTCACATACCCTGGTATTTTGTGTAATTTTGATGTTCCTCCAGCTTTCTTCTCTTCTCACCTTTCTTATAATGATAATAGAAAACTAGGCTCCACATCTTTCTAAGGAGGATTTCTACAGATTCAACACAGAGTTAAAGAGTTATTTAATGTTAATGTAACTGTTAGTGCTTTTATTAAGAAAATAGTTGTTATAATTCCATTCACATAAAAGCGGTTTTGAAAATTACGAAGTTAAAAGCATAGTAAAACTCCTCTGAAGACATCTAGACAAAATCCACTTCTGAGACTTCTTGAATGCTAATACAAGATTTTGTGTGCAGGGCAGGAGGGAAGGAGAATGCAGGTTTAGATCCGAATACAATTCAACTGTAATGGTCTCGTAGCAGTTTGTGTTAGAATACTAATTCTCTGTTGAAAGAAGTTGTTATAATGTCCTCCACATCAGTAAGTAATTGGAAAGTGTTTTGTGCAACTTGAGGACAAAAATAACCGTTTGACATTCATTTTCTGAAGCTCACATAAAATTCTAAACAATTTCCCTTCTTAAAAGTGAATCTGTTGTTAAACAAGCTACTATGCTATGTGTATATGGTCTGAAGATGATTGATCTCACATGACTGATGAGTTTTCTAGTTGTAGCGTTGATAATTGGGAATGCAGCTCTTAACTGAATTTGTTTCTTGTGGTGGCATTAAGAACAGGAATAAACAATGTGTGTAATAAAGTTAGCATGTGAATTTAGATGGTTAGATTGTATTGCATGTGCTGATGTAGTTCCAATGACAATGGCCAATTCTTAATGTGCAAAAAAATGACAAAGCTCTGCGGCAAAGTCAGAGGCTCTATGTTTTGGTTGAATTCAAAATGCCGTACTTCTTACTGCGGCAAAGTATGATGCTCTTCTTACTGCCATACTATTGTGCTTAAAGTGATCTGCAGAGCACAGAGTAGTACTGTAATGGAAAGGCTAAGCTATTCAATTGGATTAGCGTTCTTACAGATTACTAGTTTAACCAAAGGTCTTACAGCCTAGTTCTGCTGTTCTAAATTATGTAGCAAAGTCTTACAGTGGTAGGTAGTGTTGCTAATTAAGGAAAATCCTTAGGATTTGTCAAATTAGATTCAAAAGGTTAGACACAAGGCAGCGGAAATTGCATTTAGCAGCAATCCTTTAATGTCCTACAGGTATGCCAGTGATGATAAAGTATTAAAATATAGATTTTGAAGGAGACTGTCTAATGATTTGTTTTATACTTATGAGTAGTGCTAAGGGTGAGGAAAAGTTCCTTTCCCTCAGCTTTTATGTCAGACTTCTGACATACTATAACTGGAAGCTGTGTTGACTCAGATTAGTAGTATCAATAGGCATAATTAAGCTGATGCTGCAATAAACAGTAAGATTCTGTAGTTTTAATTACATTTGAAGAGGTGGTTCAGTTGGTATCAAGAAGAACATTTGGTTAAACAGATTGTTTTATTCTATGAAACTTAAAAAGAAATTGCTTTTGTTATCTCTGCTTTCAGAACTACTGTATCTACAGAGAGAAATTTTTCACTGCAAATGTATTTATAACCTATTAAGTAAAAAGGGAAAACAAACAACATAAAATTTGGTAGTCCCACATGAGACCTTTATGGAAAAATAAACTTTGAAATAATATTCACTGGATTATAAATACTATAATAATGTAACAGTCCCACAAAGATATTGCTGCACAAACAGGCATTAACTGAAAAGGCCTGGTTTCTTTCTGTCCTGTGAATTTTTCAAATGACGTATTGCATCAAGTATTTTGCTACTCTGTTAAAGTTCCAGTTTCTTCTGAACAAATCCTCTCGGATCCTGAAAGATAATTCAGTGTGCCTCGTGTTCTAAGCCACAGGCATTAGCAGAAGTTGAAGTCATGTGTCTCTTTCTGAATTCCTTAGTGTTTAAAAAGTATTCTGATCGTCACAGAATGTTGGAGTGTTTTGAACTTAGCTTATATCCAGATAATCCATGGGAAGTTTGCTGTTGCTAAGGGAGAGTTCTTCTACTTCTTATCCATACCATTTCTAAGGGGGGGAAAAAAACCCTCAGGTTTATCTTTATATGTATACATGTAATCTTTTGTTTCTTTGTTACATGAATAACCTCATGCATACTGTTAAAGATGAAGGAGGTTTTACTAATAATTTCTCACTTGCATTTGCTGTTGGCTTTATTGCGTACTACCTACATGATGACTAACTTTTGCCTGTGAAAAACACAGTTTCTAGATGAGTCTTTTTATACTGGTCAACTTTTCTTGTGAATGTGGTCTTTTTCTCATTGATATCTATTAATGACTCCCCCCTTCCCCCCCAATAAATACTGGTATTCTCAGACAGCTACTATAAAATTAATGTAAAATTAATTTGATTTCCTCTCTCAAATTAGACTTTTGTCAAAGACATAAAATATTTTCGCTAGTCTTAGAACAAGGATTTTGTCCTAATCCAGTTTTAAAAGGTAGAGGACAGCCTTTTCTGCCTTCTGCTTGTGTGCTTCAGAAATACTTTTCCTCGTCTGTTTTTTGAATAGAACTAAAAATGTGTAAGGCCACTCTTTGTTGTCTGTATTCTGCATCTTGACTAGTACCAAGAAAAGTGTACATTAGCGTGGGGTGAGGTACTCATGAATAAAATACGTGTCTTTTCACACAGAAGCACTATTAATAGCAATTTGTTTTAATCTCCAGGCAATCAATCAGATTATTATATGATTTTGGATATAAAAGATGCTTTCATTTTTTCTTAATCGTTTGAACATCTTGAAAATAATAATGTACTTTGCCTTCGAATTCAGTCCCTCTGCTGCTGATTTTCATTGTAATAAGCATGCTGCAGTGTTGATCGTGGGATCTGTTCCTCCTGTTATGAAAACTCCAGTTTCAGACTTGAAAAAATAAGTTGTATTTTTTTTAATAATTGTAGGGGTCCTTCAGTTCAAGCCACAAAAGCTGCTGCTGGTACTAAGAAGCATGATCTCAGTAAGTGGAAGTATGCAGAGCTTCGCGATACAATCAATACATCCTGTGGTAAGTTGGGGTTTTTTTTTCTGATTTGAGAAAGAAGTCAAGTTTTAGTTGTATGAAAAATCTTACTTTATTCCTATGACAAATACAAAAACTTGCTTATGGATTTATTTAAGTTTGAATGTCGAATTAATTTTAAAAAGGTCTGTTACTCCAAAGAGAACAGCGAACTAAGCTATTTCCTTATTGAGTAAACAGAATTTCCTTTGTTACCTCCTTTACTGATTATGCTGGTAAACTGCTTGGGCCATAATATACATGTTATGTTTTCTTAATTAAATTATCTCAGTTTTATGTATTTCCACAAAGGGAATAATAGTTATTATGCTTTACCTAGAATTTGCGTGTTCTAAGAAAGTTTTTGCTATCACTTCTCACTGTCACCAACTCACAAAAAAGCAAATATGTTATGTAAAGCACAGCATGAAATATTTTCTGTCTTAGATGTTCATATTATTCATTAATTTTCAAAATATTGTAACTTCATTTGGGAAGCTCACAGTTGGAATATTAATTACTTTTCCCCTAATGTTGTGAAGATAGAAACAGATAAGAATTATTTCTTTGTTAAGTATTACTGTTCCTTCCTGGTTGTGATTGAAAGCAGTTGGTTAATTTCTGATTTAAGATAACTCATAATTTCTCCATCGATATAGAAACTGGAAACAAACTCATTCTCTCTGTTTGCATTTAAAACCCAAAGTTAGCTCCAAATTCTAATTGTGTCTCAGTTGTTTTTACATATGCGAGACTGGAGCAATGCTTTCATCTGAATAGATGGTGCAGTAATGCGTGGTGCTAATGTGTGTTCATCACTATTGATGCCAGTTTGGATACTCTTAGATGACTAATGAAAAAGCCTTGCAATCATTCAGTCTCTTAGTATTGTGAAACTCAGCAAAATAGAAATATATTTAATAAAGTGGAAAAAACCCTAGATCTGCGCAGTCAAATTGCTGATTTTCTTTTTTTGAATTGCAGAAATAAAGTTCACTGGTGACATTCTATCTGTTTCTGCACTGCTTGGCTTGTGATAATGTCAACAGACAAATTTAGGAAAGTGAAAATGTTATTTGTAGCATTTCACTGCTCCAGATCTCGCAGTAGAACCAGCTACTTTGGGGATTGCCATTCCTCTAAAGGAGAAAAGGACATATAACGCTCCAAGGATCTTTCTGGGCCATACAATACAGGCCCTGTTGCTGCAGAAAATTTGGATACATTATATTAGTGTTACAAATTGATCTAAAATTATGTGCCTAGCAATATAGAGAAGCATTTCATAAATAATTTTTCTAATTTTTTTACCCTCCTCCCTTCCTTCCTCATTTTTGAGACAGATATTGAACTGTTGGCAGCTTGCAGAGAAGAGTTTCACAGAAGGCTAAAGGTATATCATGCTTGGAAATCCAAGAATAAGAAACGCAATGCAGAAACAGAACAGCGTGCTCCCAAATCAGTCACAGACTATGGTGAGGACAGATAATTTAGTGTTTATAACAATTTTGGTGACAATATTCTAAAGAAAACATTTTTAGAATGAACTTTGGTTTTGCTAGGTTGAAGGAAATTCTTGGGTTTTTTAGAGTATGTTTATGTTGATTTACCTTAATTATTCTGAAAAGATTGTAAGTGGCAAATACTTTGCAAAAAGTAGAATACTTCCAGGAGATCCAGATAAATGTACCAAACAGCTTTCCCTAAAACCTTTTCTCATACCAATTCATATCTGTTAAAAATAGTTCTTGATTTGCTGTTGCAGTTGCTGGCAGTTCTGCTAAATGTTCATTGCTGTTCTTAAGACTAAAGATGATCATTGTCCATTTATGAAACTGGTTTGCATTTTGAGACTTTTGAGGCTGTTTTTAAGATCGTTCGTACTAGTTCTGACCTCTGTAATTACAGATGTTGCTTTCTGAGAGTAGTTAGTGATAGTTCAGATCAGAAAATCATACCTAGGGATAGAATAGAGACTCTAAAAATAGTTCTCAGATAGTCCATCTATCAGAGAATTGCATGTGATTTTTTTGGTGCTATAAAAAACAGGATTGGAAGGAATCATGCTCTCTTACATAATTCACTATTACGTATGGGGTCCAGACAAAACAAGAAGTATTGGTGGTAAGGGTTTTTTCCTCATGCTTTTATTGTTTCATAAGATACAAATGTGTAAGACATAGATGTAGATGTTGTAAAAGGTGCTAATAATTTTCTCATTTACATTAGCATAAGCCGTATTTTTTTCAGGTTACATTCGCTTTTTAAAAATTCCATGAGTGTTGATACTGCAGTTTTGATTATGGGATGACAAATTTTGCATTGTCCCCGCTTTCTTATTAGACTGTCATTCTGCTGATTTCACAGATGGGTGTTTATTGTCACAGCAATGCACTAATGAGAATAAGTGACTGCCTTTTAAATTCTACAAGAAGATGCAGGAGTTACCATGTGTAACAGTGCCAGACCTGAAAATTAGGTCGCCAGTTTCTGGAGTGCTATTTGCAGCGTGGATTGTTACTCTTTTGTTGCCACCCCTCCCTCCCCCCAAGGAATCTAAGAAATGAACAGAATCGCAGCGACTGGATATAATAATTTAGTCAGATCTTTCTTGCTGTCTTGTGATTGCATGATTCTCGTGATCCTGGCCATGCAGTTAATGGGAAAAGCAGAGGAAAGGGAAGGTGGGGAGAAGATGCTCTACCTAAAGTCCCATTAGCTTGGGATTTGAGCATTGTCCTGGGACATGAGGGATACAGATCCCAGGGGATACAGGTGCCCTACTTTCACTGTTAGTCCTTATACTAAGGTGTCTCCTTCCCCTTGATTCATTTACTGAGTTATGCATTGCTTGAGCATTACCTGAGAACTTGAGCTTTTCCAGGAACTTTGGAACAGATATATGGCAGGTGAAATCTGGACCCCTGGAAAAGATTTTATCAAAGAATGGGTCCTTGTGGCCATGCCTAGTAATGTGTTTTTAAGTGCTTAAGAAAGCTTATGACTGAAACAGCAGGAAAACATACTTGAAGCACTTCTGCAAAGTGCTAAGTTGCTTTGAATTTGAGTTTGCAAATTCTGTCTGGAGCTAAATGGGTAAAACAAATATGCATGCACAGTATTGCTGGTGGGAAGTATCCAAGAACAGAAAACCATCACATTTAGTTAGACATTTACAGCATTCTTTTCAATGTTTTCCATTGCATTTTTTTACTTTTCTTGAAATATGGCTTCATGTTTCTGAAGAAAAGTTAGAACATTGTAGTTCAGAAGGCGGCCACTGGTAGTGACCTTTAGAGACTCTTGTTAATGTCAGAAGTAATTCTTCCTGTTGCAAATAATTATACTACATGGGCGTTTCACATCTATGTATTGTAACGATCTGAAAAGGTAATGAGAAGGAACTCTGATTTCTTCGGTGTTTAAGCTAAAAGTCTTTCAGGTGTTGGTGGATGTGTGCTTCAAATCATGTAGTTTCTTCTTTCTGTCTTTTCACTGATGTCATATAATTCTACAGATATCCTTTAATTAAATTCATACATTCAGTATAGAAGCTAAACACAGATTTCTGTATTATTACTGGAATAGGCAGATTTGGTACTAACAGAGGTCTGGAATTTTTTTCCTAGCAGAAATGTCAGAAATTGATAGTACTACTTTAGCTAAGTAGCAGATTTGTTACAGCAATCTTTGCTTAGCAGGTATACAACCAAGGTTTTGTAACAGGCATTGCAAATCATTGAAGTAATCAATTTAAAAAATAAATCCCAATGAAAATAGAAGCAGTTGGAAATCTATGAAACTTGAGGAAAGGAGACATATGTTTCAGTGAGCAGAAATTTAATAGAAATACTTAGCTCAACATCTGTGTTTTTCTTCTAACTAGAATTTCCATTTGTTTATCAGCGTTGGTGAAAATTGTTGAGGTAATGAAACTATAACTTCCAAAGGATCAGCACTTTTATGTTTTGTTCAACATGTAATATTTGTTCACAGATTTTGCACCATTTTTGAGCAACTCACGTAAGTGGGGAGATGGTTGTTTAAGCTAACTTTGAAGAATAGAACACTTGAGAGCTCTATACTAACATTAATCCAGTGTTTTGCTACATGTGTACATAGAATTCAATTGTTCAAAAAATTTCTACATTACAATTTGGCAATATTATTCAATTAATGGTAACTATATGTTGCTCTGGTAATTTACGAATGTACTTTACTGCTCATCTTCATGAAATCCGACCCCTTTGAGCAGTTACGGGAAGGGAGAATGAAATAACCTTTCTATGTAGGTTATTTGAAGGTATAATCTTCTTTTTTTCCTCCCCCCTTCCTCCCTGAAATACCATGCTTGTTCTAACATTTTTTTACATGGCTTTTTGTTGTAGCAAAACTCTGGAATCAACTTAATGTAACAGCTATCTTCCTAGCACACAAACTAACATTCAGGTGATGGTTTCTTTGGAATAAAGAACTACAATTCCGTAGCACTGAAAAGTAGAGGCTGTATTGGCTGCTTAGCATTTCTGTCCTCTAGATTTCCTATTGGATTTAGGTGTGCATAGGGGTAGAAATAAGCCTTAGCAGTTATCACTGCAGTGCAAAAAGTGTTTGACAGTACTAAAGCGCTCGTCTGCTGTGGTAAATGTTCAGACAACCTGCAGAAAAGAGTTTATTTCCTGTAAACTGTAGACTATGTCTCCCTGTATAATACATGCTTTATCAGAGTTGGTGTACAAAATTAGCATTCACCTATTAAAATCTATTTTGGTTTTCTTCCCTTTGTTTATGTAGACATGCCAAAAAAAAATTTGGGAGTAAGATTCGTGTAGTACATGTGTATTTTTTTAAGATTCTGCTTTTCAGATTTAGGAAAATTTTTTATGCTTGAATCTAAGTGGAAGAAATTCCAAGGTATAGTGGCTAGTCTATTAGTCTTGTTAATCCTTGTGAAAGTACATTATTAGAAGTGATGCTTATTTTTCATTTTATTAAATTTTAGCTGAAAAAATAGCTTTGCTGCATAATAGACAATGGACAGAAAAGGAATTCACTTATAGTTTTTCCCTTTATGTTGAAACGTGAAACTGTTAATACTGATTTTCTTTTGTAGAGATGGCATAGATTCACATTCAGAATACTTAAACAGGGTGTTTGTAACAGTGTTTTTGTAAACTGCTAAAACACGACCAGTAATAAACTTTTGCAGGAGGCGGTTATTAAAGGAAAGGGTTTTGCTTGTAAGAGCATTTACTACTTATAACTGATTATGATTGTGTATGTGTAACATTAAGAAGGTTGATCAGTGAACATAGAGAGTATTTGCTTCTATTTGAAAGAAAGTTTCTTTCTGAAGTCTGAAATGTGTGGGACTCTGAGGGACTCCAGAAATGCACATGGGAAATGTTTACCAAAAATACACATAAAGCTTTAAAAGATTTCATATGACTCTGTCTCCTCTAGATGATTGATCTATTGATCTTAATGGTCAGAAATAAACAATTTCTTTAAAAAAGAAAGCAGTCAGAGAGTAGTTCTAATGCTGGAGCTCAGTACACACAAATCTGGGCAGAAAGTTATGTTTGGTGGCAGCTTTGTAATAAGCAGTGTTTGTTGTCACCATTTCTATTAACAAATTGCTCATTTCTAACAATATTACACACTCTTCTGTGTTGACTGTCAGAAATCTTCCAGTGGTGCTTTGTATTTTTGTACTGAAATTGCTTCTTTGTACTGTGACCTTGTTTTACAAAGAGATGGACTGAACTACTGCAGTTACTGATTAATGTTTCTGGTTGGTGAGAAATTTTGTATGGGAATTTTTGCCTCAGATACTGATTTAAAGCAGAATGTGTTGTTTTAGTCGTTTTGTCTAAGCATACCTGGTGCAGTTGAGCAACCTAGTATTACAAGTAGATACAGTAGTCAATGTGAGCCTTTCCTTACCACTGTGGTAGCTGTAGTGATTAGAAGAATGCACATAAGACAAGATGGGAATACTTCTTAGGCTTGATGAGACTTCAGATGACCTTGTTTTCAGAGAGAATCTCTCAGATTTTGGGGGGTTTAGTTTGGTTTTTAGGTTGGTTTGTTTATTTTGGGGATTTTGTTTGTTTGTTTTTACTTTGCTGACTAATCAAGCAAGTCCTAATATGGCTCTGTTGTTTTCTGGGTTTTTTTGTTTGCTTGTTCTTGGGTTTTTTCGTATGATAGCTCAACAGAACCCGACAACCCAGCTACCAGCCAGACAACAAGAGATTGTAATAAACAGACAACAGCGTTACTTCCGCATTCCCTTCATCCGTCCCGCGGACCAGTACAAAGATCCCCAGAACAAGAAGAAGGGTTGGTGGTACGCACATTTTGATGGGCCGTGGATTGCTCGACAAATGGAACTTCACCCTGACAAGGCACCCATTCTCCTTGTAGCGGGTTGGTATTGAAAGCAAAATTCAAATGTTGAAAAGGTTCAGAGTTGATAGCTTACTGTAGAAAAAGAGGCTGATGATGGAAGTTTCCCAAGTTGTTTCCTCTTTTTTTTCTGCCGTTCTTCTCTGGGCAGAATTTGAGGATTTGGGACTGCTGTTGATGGTGGCCAAATGTTGTGGAATATCATTTGGAGATGTAACTGGTCACGTGTTTTACTTGTACATGTACTGTAATCCGGGAAATCATAGACAGAGTGGGAATCCAAATGTAAATGGTTTTATTATTAAGCGTTCTCAGTTTATTCATTGAACTGGGGAGAGCATGAGGATAAAACATCACAGTAAATCTGGGGAAGTTCTACTCATCATTGTATTGTTTTTTAATTAGCTTTGAAAAATTACAGCAGTTTCCATTAAAACAATTTGTGCGTATGATATATTGTCTTTCCATAGTATGGTGCTAATAACAAACTGATGCTTCTACCAGGTTTATGCTGTCTAGGATGGGAAAATAGCTTTTTAGTCTTGAACATTTAAAATAAAAACTAAATGTGGCAATGGATAGGTAGAGATTTTATCTGGTAATTAAATGTATCTGCCTTTTCTGGAGGATAATAAAAGGGGGACAAAACACTGGAGAAATGCTGTTTAGAGTTCTGTGTTTTGGGTTTTTGTATTTTACTTGGGGACTGAGGAAGCAGCCATCACCAATTTGTTTAGCTGCAGAGTGATGCTTTACTAGCATCACAAAAGGACAAGAACAAAAGTTCCTAGGTTTTCTGCTAATTATTTTTAATAGAATTCCTTATACCACTGTTACCTGTTCAGTGTCAAAGCCCATGGCTAAAATGCTGTCATGAATACCGCATTTAATGGATCACCTATTATGATAAGATTAAAATACAGCGAGTGAGCTACACTCATCATTTCATTGGATTCCCTGTGTCAGTCCCATTTGGTAAACATTGTGTGTTTAGCGTGGGAGGCTGACAGGTTAAGAATACTGGCTACTTGATCAAAAATCTTGAGTTCTTAGTCACTTTGCTACATTTAAACAAAATAAATAATAACAGCAGTTCACTGTAAAACTGAAAGTATGTGTAAAACACACATGGTTGTCATGCTGTAGTGAATTTCAGGACAATATATCAAGATGCTGATCTTCTCAGCTTCTTTGCTTTGTTCCTTTATGCTCGCTTTTTAAGCCCAATTTTTTCAGTAGCAGCACCTGATACTAGTTGATTCTGGTAACACTTTTCTGCTCTGTTTGGAAAAAGAAAACAACCCCAACCAAAAAGCCCCAAAACAAACCAGCCAATTGTGTCTGAGGACTGATTTCCTCGTAAGCTCTGAAGTCTATTAACAAACCAGAGCTTGAGAGAGGAAATCTAATTAACAAAGATCTACTCTTTGTTAATAGGACCTTTGAATGATGTAAAAGCTTTATAAAGATTTTTTCCTTTTCCCTTTACCATTTCAGGTAAGGACGATATGGATATGTGCGAGCTTAATCTTGAAGAGACTGGCTTAACTCGGAAGCGAGGTGCTGAGATTTTGCCGAGACAGTTTGAAGAAATTTGGGAGCGCTGCGGAGGTATCCAGTATCTTCAAAACGCGATTGAAAGCAGACAAGCTCGTCCTACGTATGCTACAGCTATGCTGCAGAACCTCTTGAAATAAATGGTCACTTTGCACAGCAGCGTTCGAGACGAGAACCCTTGCCTGCGATACAAAGGGAAGAGTTCCTCTGTGCAGCAGAGGACGTAAACATTCTATAATCATATTAGAGATGTTTAATATAAAGTGAACAGATTTTATTAATCATGTGGTTTGTTAATTTGTACTTTATGAAGTTTAATTTGTGTAGTGAACTTTACTAGGTATGAGGACCTTGAAGAAATTTCAGTCAGTGTAGTTTGTTGCATTTTGTTTATATATTGCATTTTCTTTAACAGTTTCTGTTATAGCTCTCAACACTTGTTAGCAATCTGTCTATACTTGGGTACATATTACAAAGAACCACATTGCAACCAGCTTTTTATAAAATCCCCTCTTTGAAACACTGAAGAGTTGGCTTCGAGTGGTGGCCTAGTAAAGACGGTGTGTTTTTAATAACTGGAATTGTGAGGCCTTAGCTTTGACTTCTGTTCCGGAGAAGTTGGAGTATACTTTTATATAATCTGAGACATTTTATGTCCTGATTTGAAAACTGGTTAGTGTCTGTATTTACTGACTTTTTCAGAAACTGATGGGAAATCCTTATGAACTTGAGACCCATAAATTCCTGTATTTAATGCATTCTCTGTCTTGGTTTAAGAGAAATGGTTTCTGTGCATTCTGAGAAGAGCATTCATATATGTCAATAGTGTGTAATACTGGAGGTACTCAAAGAATGTACAGCTCATTAGGGCTTGTCCCGATTCTCCCTGTTTGTTTTTTTGTTTTTCTCTTTGAGTACGAATTTCCTTTACACTTTTATTTTTCTGACCAAATTTCTGTTAGGAATTCTTGAACAGTTTGTTTATCCAGGCAGTGTAATTTCAGTACAGTGTGCAAAAACGTCCAAGTCTTACATCTGGAGGCACATAAGATTAAGGATAGCATAAGGGAAAGATGTTCAGCTTTTTGGTGGCAGTAGAACTTAACTGAGTATTGAGGCCTGAGCCTCTGCCATCCTGTTTATTTTTGTGTAACAAGGTGCTTTTGTTAGATTGTATAAAAATTTGGTCCAATAACATAACGCATCATCTTAATACTATGTGCAGATGAGATAGCTACAATTTTTAATATACTGGAATATCGCATTGAACCTTATTAAGCAGTTCATTTTGAGAGTTTTTGTAGGTGGGAATTACTAATTTTCATACCATTTCAAGATGCATCTAATTCACTTAAGTGAACATGTTTTCACCATGCTGGCCATTATTTCATGTTAAATTTCATATTAAAATAGTTTCCTCACTGTTTACTCAGTTTGAAACTTTAGGAACTCGTGGAAACTTTTTAAATGCAGAACTATACTTCATTAGCAACTTTCAAGAGGTACAGTTCTGTAGCACAGAGAAAGCTCGTGGTGCATACAGCCTTGCTGACCTTAGGTTGTGCTTGCATGGCACAGTCTGCTTGCTGTCATAAATGCACTCCTTACTGTCATACATGTGGAGATATTTCAGTGGTACATGAAGTCTCTGAGTCTGCTACCTCAGAGAATCTCAGCTGCCACTGCATACCCACACTGCTTTTTGGTTATGTGATTGCAAACGAGAAAATGCTTTCGTTTTACCCAAACAAATTCTTCACTGAAGCAGTAATTTTTGGCTGAAACGTGAAAGGAGAAGTGCATCAGACGACTGGCTAGCAAGCTATGTACAAACCTGTACAGAGTTGCATGAGTTCAGAGGTGCTGCTTATGAAATTTAGATTATTGGTTTAATGTATTAATGAATTAGAACCAAAGTTTTAGAACTTCCAGTCTCCAGAAATTTAGCACTGCAAGAGGCTATGACCTGACCGTTCATGGCAATGCAAGGAAGAAAAATCACTGAACTAACAGGGCTGAGATGCCCTACCCTGTATTTATTACTATCTAGATTTAACTTCTTGACTTAACACATTCACTCCCAGTTCATATATATGTAAAAAAAAAACTGAACATGGTAAGCAAAGAGCCTCAATACTTAACGAGAGTGTGTGTATGTATATACACATATATATGCTTAAATATTTTAGTATATGTATGTGTAAACATACTTGTGGGGAACTTAAATAAAACTGTTAACTGAATTTTTCCAGTGTGTTCCTTTGATTGTGCCAGGATTTCCTTGACTGGCATCAGAGAGAAAATTAATTTTTTCAAAATGGGGTGTGTGGGAATTCTTGTTAACTAAATGACTAACAGATATGACCTATCAGGAAAATAAAATTGACTTTGAAATAGTGGAAGAGGAACTGGTGGCTGAATGTTCCCAAATGAGATGTTCCCACCCCTCCGCATTGCTCCAGCAGTACGGCTGAGGCAAGCAGAAGATGCATTCCCAAAAAGAGCATATTCTAGTTTGCACAGTAGCAGACTTTTTTTTTTTTTTTCTTTCCTGCACCACAAGCATCTGCTTTTAGTTCTACTGATCTTTTTGTGCAACAAAATTAATTTTGAAAGCATTTCAGGTTTGGGTTTGTGGTTTTTTTTTTTTTTTACATTGGGCAATATTCAGCTGCTTACTGATTGTTTCCGTTGTCCCATCTGCTGTGTCAGATAATTATACTGTTGGTTGATTTGGAGAGGAAATAAAAACAGGGGGGAAGGCATTGAACTGTAGGATTGTAGTATTACGTAATGCCCTTCTGATCTAGTTCCAGAGAAAAAATTAATTTCGTTTTTAAAGCAAAATGGTGAGCTAAACATATTGGCTTGCTTCTGTGTGTTTGACTTGAAAACAACAAAACAAAAAAATCTTCCTGCCTCTCAGTGAAGTTGTCCATTATAGTTGAGACACTCCAGAAAACAAAGGAGAGGAAGAGAATCACGGTGTCAGGCTATGTTACTGACGTGATCCAGAAGTGTGAATTCTCTAGAGAATGCTGCTTCCAGGATCGCAAGGTCGTTAAATACTTGTCTTTCATCCACTAATAAGATTGTTTTTCTTTACCTAGTTGAATCCTTTGGGTTTTTCTCCAAAATCTTTATTTAAAGTATTTAAATGACCTTCTAATACTGTACTGAAAATTAATAAAAAATAAATACATTCCATGTTGAAATCTCAGTTGTATCTCTCTCACTGTTTTGTCTTTAAAGATTTGAAGTGTAATAAGTAAGAGTAAATTAAGTTATGAGATGGATAAAAGGAGTTCTGTGCTGGAGCTGCCTAATGCTTTTCTGTGAGGTGTGTATGGTGCTTAAAGTGATGCTTAGTAAAGACTTTGACTTTACTTTCTAAGGTAAGTGTTCCTCTAAAATAACATTCTGGTATTAAGAAGTTCTGATTTTGTTATCTTAAAGTCTCATACCTCATTTCTCAGTATTTGTTGAAACAAGTATACTTCTACTTTTATTACTATTTTTTAACCTTTATTGCTATCGCTTCCAATGTATTTCTCATTTGCTGTGCTGTGTACTGTTTGCATCTTTTTCGTCAGTGACCAGTGAAACCACTTAGGATGCTCCAAGTTCGTATGCTGCAGGAAAAGTTGGAGGTTTGGGGTGGGGCTCTGGTGTTGCTTTTGGGTTTGTTGTTTGTTTTTTTTTTTAAAAAAATAAAGTGTTATCAAACTTTCCTGTCTTAAAGGCCAAATCAGACTAGTATTTAATTTAAGAAGGCTGAAGTAATTCAGACTTTGATATCTAGGAGAGATAATTTTGTTTTGCTTTCCCTATGGCTTTCATTTCCAGCTGTAGCTTTACGACAGTTTTAAAATAATGTGATGTGTCTTAGTGTGGCATTAAATACCAAGGCAATTCCCTATGAAATTTTCAAGTAAATAGTTTTATTGTGTTTTATTGAAATACAAAAGGCTTACATCCAGCAAATATATTTGGTAATTAATAGTTGAGAGTGATAAATACAGTCATGAATAATCATTATTAAAATACACATTTTAAAATTACTTAGATTTTTAATCTGACTAGTGATGACTAGTATGAATTGAAATATACTAAACACATACAAAAATACATTTGTGATGGAAAAAATTGGAATGCGTTCAGCATTCTTAATGCGTTCTTAACTTACATGAGTGAAAAGCTAACATTTGTTGGCAGGGATGACTCCCAGTCCCCTGCAAGAAATATTTTTAAAGTAGAGTTTTATTCTGAAGTGTTTCTGTTTAAAACCCCCTCTTAGGTTTCGTTTTGATTTTTTTTTTTTTTTCCTAGTGCAGTAAAGTAAGTAAAAATACTATTTCAGCTGTAGAAACTCAACCTTGTATTCTTGGTGCATTGCCTTCATTTGTACACAGTCACCAGTTTTGGTGGTTTCACAGGCAAATCTGTGCAGTTAATTGTTTGGAATTTGTAAACAGTCCTTTTGAGTGTACATAACAAGGTAAACTAAAGTTCAGTCTTTGCTGTGTGAAGTGAAGTAAAAAGAGTTGTCACTAAAATCAGCTACTATCCTGAATATGTGCAAGTTTCACGCCTGGATGAGGAGCTGTCATCCAGCATAGTCAGGAACTTTGCAGAAGCTCAGTTTGAGCTGTAAGTACAACTTCTGGTATGCACCAAGCAGCAAGCAGTGCCTCAGTATCGTACAACACTGGTGCAGCATGTCTATATCTGTATATCTACGTATACACACACTCAAGGAAAAGATGTTCAAGGTGAAGTAATGCTCATACATGAATGGGGATTGTGGATCCATAGAGCATAAATTGCTAAGCCTGTAAAATACTGCGTGGCCACCCACTGTCTGCTTAGATTTCTTCTACAAAAACTTACAGTAACCTCTCGAAATTATTTGTGTGCGTACTGAGTTTAAAGTGTGCATATTTACGTGTGACTCCATAACCTGCTTGCTGCTGAGAGGGTGCTTGTGAATGTAAATCTCATGTTCTGAAAAGATGAAACTGCAGGTATTGTGCCTCAGCAAAAAGTTTTGAGCTCTTAGGATAAGACAGTTGAACTGTCACCAGAAATTAAGCGGCGAAGTGTGTATATACATATGTATACATAATGTGTTCATTAACAGAAGAATAGGAGTCTGCTGTTCATAGAAAACATTAAAAAAAATAATCCCAGCTTCTGTGTGGTTTGCAATGTGAGCATCATAGGGAGAGAATGAACAAGTTCCCAAACGCTTTTATTGCGGCCTTTGGCCAGTGACAGCTCATATTTCTGTGTTTGCCGCTTACATTAGTGAACGTAAGGAAGGTTGATAAAAAGGTAGAGAAATGTGGTAAAGTTTCATTGACACTTTTAGCAGAATGGTTGTGACATGAAATATTGAAAAAAGTTACTTCTCAGCAAAACCTGTTTCTAGCACTCTGTTCTTAAATGGAAGTACAGTTAAGGTGTGTAAGCGCCGGCTGCTTAATGCATGCGTCTTAACTGGTGGCTGCTTACTAGGCAGATTTTAGATATGGTCAAATAGTTGGTCGTGTTGGTTTTCTTTAATAACATTTAGTTAATGTGTACTGATTTTAGAGCTAAAACGCTACGTCTTTAGGAATTCTCGTATTTTTTTCATATGCATAATCACCCTGAAGTCCAGTCTTGAATAATGCAGGCCTTC